GAAGGTCAGGCCCCGGCTTCAGAGCTCCTGGATTGCTCCTGCTGGACTTGGGCTGCCAGTGACCATCATTCATTAAGATACTACATAGTTGTACAAATGAATTGAGTGATTCACTGGAAAAGATGAAGGCAGGAAACAGCAATGATGGCTAGCCTTGGAGGCTCCTGCCTGTGATGTCAGAACTCAGGGGGCAGGGTCAAGATGATCAGAAACTGAAGGTCATCCTTGGTTACACACATAGTTGGAGACCAGTCTGGGCTAAGTAAGACAATCTCATTAAACAAACAAACAAACAAAAGGCATGCAGAGAAGGGAGGGGACATTATAGAGATGGCTCAGAGGATAAGAGCACATACTATTTTTCCAGAGGACTGGAATTTAGTTCCTAGCACCTATGCTGTATGACTCATGACCAACTGTAACCCCATCTTAAGAGGAGCTGACTCCCCCTTCTGGCTTCCACTGGCAATTTCACTCATGTGCAAATACCTCCCGACTCTGACTCCCACCAATCAATATAAATAAAATAAAATCTTCGAAGCAGGGAAGGGTCATGGCTGAGGAGATGGCTCAGCAATAAAGTGCTAAGTTTGACCCAGCAACCATGCAAAAAGCAGAGCTTAGCAGTATGGGGGGGGCGGGGTGGCAAAAGAACCAAGCATACCTAGGACTTGTCTGCCAGCCCTAAAGCCGTAAGAACACTGCACCTGCACCCCCCAAACTAATGCTATCAGTCTTAAGAAGAAAGGGAAGGAAGGGTCTAAGAAATGGTGACCCAGAGTCAACCATAAGAGGTAAGGAAGCCATTAGACCATATAGTTCAATCAAAGCCATTCTGGAGGGAACAGGGAACAGCTCAGCAGTTAAGAGCACTGGCTGCTCTTGCAGGACTGGAATCCAGGACCCACATGGTGGCTCTCAACTGTTCATAACTCCAGTTCTGAGGGATGTGATGTCCTCTCCTGACCATTGCAGGCATGAGGCACATTTGCAGTGCACTTATACACATAGATGCAGTCAAAACATGCAGACTCATAATTACTGTCTTTAAAAAGAAAAGAAAACCATGAAGGCATCCATTTCTAGAGGCCATCAGCCTTTAGAGAAGACTGCTTTGGGCTGTCCGGGAACCCCCTGAGTGTCCAGCCATCCCCCTGCCAAACAGTTGCATTTCTGCCTAATTGTATATGGCCTCAGGGTCTCTGAGAGGGACTAGAGAATCTAAGTGGGGAAGGATGAGGGAGATGGCCCCATCTACAAAGCCACAGAGAAGCCATCATCCCAGCCAGGGTTGATGTTCCCTGCACCTTCCTTCCAAGGGCTGTGGACAGTCCTCAAGCTCAGCTGGACTCCCAAAGATGGTTGTAGTCTGGCTCAGAGGACAGTGTAGGTAGCATCTCCACAGGAGTTCTATAGAAACTAGCAGTTGGAAAGGGAGCAAACCCCGGCTTTAAACAATTAGTCCTTTGCATGAGAGCAGAGGGAAGAGTTTGGGGTAGAGGAAGGGGACCAAGGCAAACAAGGAGGATGAACAGGAACACAGTCTAGTGAAATGGATGTCTGAAAATGACATAACGAACCTCAGTCACTTTGTATGTTAACTTGAAAAAAAAAAAAAAGTCCTTTAAACTAGTCATTAAATCAAAACTTCTCAAAGCCCACTTTGAATTTTTTTTAGCCTGCCTGCTCTACCACTGGTAACTCCAGTTCCAGGGGGTCCAACACTCTCTGGCCAACAAAGGCACATGGCACACAAATGGTGTACACACATGTAGGAAGACACAGCAAAATGAATAAAAATGTCTTAAGAGACAGTAGGCATTGGAAAGGAATTTTATTTCTCATCTTACCATGCTGGATGTACACACAACATCATTGATATATACAGCTCGAACAAATACAATTTATACATAAATACAAAGAAAGTGTGGTTTTTGAATTAACACAGCAAACTTACTATACAGTTTGTATCCTGGTCAGTAACAGCATTACAGTAATGCTACTCAGGTTTGCGCTGATTCTAATTAGTCAAAACTGCAGGGTCAGTTCAAAGGCACTAGGAAGAACTATGTTTTCTAGTAGTTAAAAAAAAGAGGGAGGAAAACAATGACTGATATATATCTATGGATGAGGGGGGCGCCTGGGTGCAGTGTTGCATAAGTATAATCCCAGCAACCATGAGGTGGAGGTAGAGGAGGCTCAGGGGTTTAAGACCAACCTGAGCTACATACTAGGCTACGTGGAACTCTATTTCAAAATGGAAAGGGGGAGGGGAGAAACTGGACAGACACAGGTGTATATAAATGTAAACTTTGCCCATTCCTTAATTCACAGCTCTACTGGATAGAGGGTGTTCCTTGCATTATGACTTAAGACACATCCTAAACCTAAAGTGAAAATAGAAATGCTACAACTATAATCATAACTTTAAAAACATGTTGCAGATGAAGCAACACTTTCCCCTCCAAAATAACCCCGATGTTCTGGATGCCAAAAACATAAAGTAGAAAATCACCTTTTCCAGAATATACACGAGACAGCTTGTGAGAGGACTTCGCTGTCAGGCAAGCACTGGCTGCACCACATTCCACTCGCTGAGCCTGAACATCACAAGAGCGGACAGACACTGAGTGGAGCCTGGCTGTCAGCAAGTGCAGAGTCAGCCTAACTTCCTACTAGAGCTCCTTTCAAATAAATAAATATTACTTTTTAAATTAATGAAAAGGATACTCATCATTTATAGATCTGCCCCACTCATTTAAAATCTGTACATTTATTTTAAACATTAAGCAAGTCTGTCTTTATCTCGATCCAATCATAAAATTAACACTGAAAATACGAACTATTCATCTTTTGTGGACAAAGACACAGTGAATGAGAAGCAGCCCCAGCAGGGGTCCTACCATCCTCAAACAGATCTCCCAACCTGTCAAGGATCTAATTTAGCTTTCAAGAAATGAACATTGTCCACCTTATTAGAGTTTTAACACAAACGCTTTAATGAACACACTGCTTAGCGTGATGACATCACTTGCAACCTCAGCACATGCCAGGCTGAGGCAGAGGGATCTTGAGTCCCAGGCCAGCCTGGGCTAACACAGAAAGATCCTGTCTCAAAACATCAAGCAAGCAAGCAACAAAATTACTATGTCAAGATGCATAGAGAATTTTCTCAATATTTTCAGTACTTATGGCGTTATTTTGTTGCTGTTATAGGCTTTAACACATTAGATTCAATGTTTCTAATGTTTTAGTTTAATTCACAGCAGATATTCCTTCCAGGCCAACTGTTAAATGATAGAAACACAGACTTTTAAAATGAAGGCATATAGATTCTTTTTTCTTACTGGTAAAAGTAAGATTCTGTAATTACCAACAGTTAAAATTACACCAGCAAGAAATTTGAGATCACCAAGATGCTTGGCTCACAGGAGTCTCACAAGACACACACTCGCTCAGGGTGCCATAGCACCCAGGCCACATCCACTACCTTGAGACACTGCCACAGTGGCCATGTTCATATCAGCACATGCTGCACAGATGGGACACCCAGTGCTCCTTCTGGAAGGCTCCACAAATGTATGGCCACACTTTCCATCACTTCACTAGGGCTCTACCTCTACTCAGTCATCTACAGCCTACATACAGCTCTGTAATTATAAGTCAGTATTTACCCAAACGTGTTAAAAAATCACAGTAACCCAACTAATTCTAACTTGGGAAATCTCAAAATCTTTGCAATCAAGAGCCTAGAGTTGATTGTGTAATTTCAAACTTAGAAAGCATGATAGGTTTTAGAAGCACATAACCTTCAAAATAATTTTCTAAGTAGACACCAAAAAAAACCCCAACCATTTATTATAAAAAACTTATTTAACTATATATTGAATATAACTTTTTAAGAGAGGAATATGGCCTAACTGGATTAATCAATAGAAGAAATTCAGAGAGCAGTATTATATGTGTGTATATATATATTTATTTATAAAGGAAATTAAAAGGTATTTTTCTGGCTTAGCTTCATTTTCTATAAAATGAGACTGGTTTCAATTTGTATACAGTCATTTCCATCAAAACTTAAAATTCAGACAATGGAGTATCTGTAAGCCTTATGTCCAAGAGAATTTTTTTAAAATGTGTGTGTGGCTGAGAGGTGGTGGTACACACCTCTAATCCTAGCACTTGGGAGGTAGAGGCAGACAGATCTCTGAGTTTGAGGCCAGCCTGGCCTACAGAGCTAGTTCCAGGATAGCCAGAGCTGTTACACAGAGAAACCTTGTCTTGAAATACAAAATCAAAAAACAAAAACAAAAATATGTGTGACAGCAAAGGTAAGTGGCCAATGCTGGCATTGGTGGGAAAGTCGAACCAGCAGCAACAACAACAAAGGCCAAATGTATGTCAGGGTGACAGAAACTGGTGGAGAGTGGCCAGAAGAAGCACATGTTCAAACTGTACCTTAAAATGTAAACCTGCAAAGTTGTCAAATTATACAATTTTCCATAGGAGAGCCATAAAATCAGTCATCTCATATCTAAATGCAATGAACATTAGTATAAAGTTGGAATGCATTTAGACAGGCCTGTCGGCTGTCAGGACAAGTTACTGCTTAGATAAGCTGCCCGGGTACTGACACAGAACACAGGACATAGGATAAGGCCTTCTGCTATGCACTGTGCAAACAGGACAGACTTCCCTCCACTCTGAGATTCCGCTTATCTAAATATGCAATAGTTGAGTAAGTACATAGCTAAGAGATGCACACTCACATACAACCACAACGCTCAATAAGAATGGTGCCCCTACTTCCACAAAGCATTGCCGACAGCGTGACATTCCTGCAGTCACCAGTTATGCACACTTACATGTTACAGAAGCTTAAGAGTCTAAAAGTTATCAGGAAAATTGCTATTTCCAGTCTCACTCCATAATTTACAGCTTTCATTATGTGATTTACATAGGTGTCCTCAGCGTCTCAATTAAGGATTTCTGTTCAGGCATGGGAATATCACTCTTTTTTATTGTAACCTTAATTCTGTAACATTTACTGAAGTAAAGAATCAATTACGGTCTCGGGCTTTGCAGAACGCTTTCTGTTAAGAGAAGAAAACATCCAAGATGAGTGCTTTTCCGTAAGAGACAATCAACACATTATGTAGCCAGATGGACCAACACTGGCCATGCTTGACCACAGCAGTTCTGAGTGATACCCAGTTTTTCAGAGTAGGTAAGGTCACCATAAGCAAACATATCACCACAGTACAGTGTTCTAGTGTGAGGATCTGAGCACAGGGTCAGACAAGGTGCAGAAAGCTGTTGGCTGAGCTTATCAGGGATGCCCAGTGGTCATTTCCTCTGTGAGGCTAACTACGGAGAAGCCAACTACGGAGAAGCCTCAGAGAACCAGGACACAGTGTCTGCACCTGCACGAGTACTCTCATGGGCTGTCTTTGTCCAGCACAACAGACTGCATGTCTCTCAAGAAGCATGGGGTACTCACAACAGAACACAAACATGTCTTATTGCAAAGAATTGCTTATTTCCTAGGAAAACTATAGTTTTTGATTCTGTTATAGAGTCTGGATCACATGTTGGCCCACAAGTTTTTTTCTTTTTGAGATAGGGTTTCTCTGTATTGCTTTGGAGCCTGTCATGGAACTAGCTCTGTGGACCAGGCTGGCCTTGGTCCACAGAGAACCGCCTGTCTCTGCCTCCTGAGTGTTGTGATTAAAGGTGTGGGCCACCAACGCCAGGCAAGGATTTTCTTTAACTTAAGCTAAACAAAAAGCATATTTTTACAGTGGTGCATTATAGAAACTATATCAAAATAGCTTATCAAAGTTTGTTTTAGCTGAACTTGAGAGAACTCATGTAAGTAATCTGGATTCTCTTTATAAAGATAACTGTCCAGCAATAATATGGCCTGTTCTACACTAACAAGGGACAGAACCACAGGCTTGCTCCACTATCCTCCGCTGCCTGTCTTTGTGAAGTTGACTGTCTCTACCATTTGCCACATACGAAATGCATCTTCCTAGTGACCACAGAGCTCAAAGGATGGCATTTACTAACCTTGTAACAGAAAGGGGTAGTTCAAGAGCTGTGTTTTACAACAGCACTTAAGAGCATGTGTTGCTCTTCCAGAGGTCCTGAGTACACATCCCAATATAAGCCACATTGGTGGCTTATAACCAACTATTCCAGGAAATCTGACATATAAATATGCAGGCAAAACACTCACATACAGATAAAATAAATAATTATATATCCTTAAAGAGCCCATGTGAAGATTCAGTTAGCATACGAAAATCTTTAAATCCTTCATCTAAATGCTAAAAAAATGCAAAAAATCTTATACATTTTAACATGTAGCTGATTCTTTCTAGCCCTAGTTTAATGAACCCAACATTTTTAGTGTTACCATATATCTAAAAGACTATGTAACACAAAGATGTAACTAACACCCATTCACTTCACCTTATATGTAAAGCAAAAGTCTTGTAACTGGTTCAGATTAGCTCAAGGAGCATTAGTGCCAGCCCTGGCTTCCCACTGAGCTTATGCGATGAAGCACAGAGGCTATACAATTGTCAAAACTGGTGCTAGAGAGTCATACAAGTTTCTCTTGTCCTTGGGGCAAACTGACCAGGTGAATACAGTATTTTGGGAGCCAAACTAGGCAAATTAATTAGTATCTTATTAGGAGAATTAGTATAAAAACTAAGACCCTAAACAAGACAGTAGGTGATGGGTAAACACTAGGAAAGAACAAAGTGAGTTCTCCTGTGGGCAGAGGCTAAAAGATTGCAGTTCTTTTTCTGTTTTGTTTTGGGAAAAGGTCTCATTATGTAGCCCTGGCTGTCTTGAAATTTGTAATGCAGATCAGGCTTGCCTGTAACTCACAGAGATTTGAGAAATCTGAGAGGCCTGCTTCTGCCTCTCAAGTCCTGGGATAAAGGGTTTTCCACCCAACTGTCTTAGAATGAAATCCAACCTTTTTTCCCCCCACCCCCCAACTCCAACACAGGGTCTTTCTGCATAACAGCTCTCTGGCTGCCTTGGAATTTGCTCTGTAGATCAGGCTGGCCTCGAACTCACAGAGTACAATTCTTTATCCCTATTTTGCTTATCAAGTTGTAATCGAATAGAGAATATAATTTCAAACCACATGTTATGTAACTAAAGTGTGACTTCCTTTAGACATATCTAAATATAGTATCACAACATTGTCACTTCAGGGATTTGGGGCTGTCCTCACCGTCTCCCAGTCTTTGGCCTTGCTTTCCCCTTGGAGGTCCGTGGCCTTTCTAATTTCATCAAAGATTGACGCAGACTTTCTTCTGTATAGGCGAGGTACACGTGGGAAAGGTCTACTTCAAAAGGCTACAAGAAAACGAACGAACACACACACACACACAAAGTTAAATCATATTTGGGGAAGATTTAAAAGACAGATTGACACTGATCAAAAACAACCACTGAAGACAAACCAAATAACCTTCTAAAGATGTCTTCTCCCCTACTATGAAATGCACTCAAAGCTGGAGAACTAGAGCCCAGACACGCCATAAGTTCCCCAGACATAAAGAAAAACTGTCTTCCTTTCTCTAAAACCAGCATACTGGTTGATCTAGGACTGAGGGAAGCAAAGCATCTTAGTCTCCTGCCACAGCCCACAGCCCAGAATGGTGAAAAGAACACAGAGTGGATTGGATTGGAACGATACAGAGAAGATTAGCATGGCCCCTGCACAAGGATGACATGCAAATTTGTGAAGCGTTCCATATTTTTGGATACCACTGAAGAGACCTTAAAAGAATCATTTGAGGGCTCTGTTTGTGCAAGAATAGTCACGGATCAGGAAACTGATTCCTCTAAAGGGTTTGGTTTTGTAGACTTCAATACTGAGGAAGATGCCAAAGCTCCCAAGGAGGCCATGGAAGATGGAGAGATTGATGGGAACAAAGTTACTTTGAACTGGGCCAAACCTAAGGGTGAAGGTGGCTTTGGTGGCCGAGGTGGAGGCAGAGGAGGTTTCAGGGGCCAAGGTGGTAGTAGAGAAAGAGGAGGCAGATTTGACGGCAGAGGCCGGGGAGGCTTTGGAGGTCAAGGAGGCTTCTGAGGTGGCCGAGGAAGAGGAGACTTCAAGCCACAAGGGAGACAAACGAAGTTTAAATAATTCCTTCCCAATCTTTCCCACTTCATTTTAAAGAAAGGACTCTGGGGTTTTACACTGTTACCTGTTATATGACAGAGCCTTTTAAGGACATTTCAAGAGATATATTTTTTTTTCCTACAAATAGTTTGTGTGTGTGTGTGTGTGTGTGTGTGTGTGTGTGTGTGTGTGTGTGTGTGTGTGTTGGGGGTTGTAAAAGAATGTTTACCATGTTTTTTTTTTTTTTTTTTTTTTTTTTTTGCTTCAGTGACTTTAGGACAAATTAATTAAAAGTCCTAAACTCTGGTGCCAGGAAAAAAAAAAAAAAAAAAGAGTGGCAGAAGGCTGTACTTATGGCTGGAGTGAAAAGAGGACTTTTTGCTAAGTGTGTGCCAGAGAGCAGACCTGTCCTAACAGTCCCACCCAAGAGCCTCTACTCACAAAAGAGAACCAGGTTGCTCAGCCACCATGCTGGAACAACCCACCCACCCCAATTCTGATAAGACTACCCGGAGTGTAAAGTGCTCTTACATCTCTCTCCTTCTTGTCAGGCACTGGGGTCTGTTTCCTCATGTTATTTCCTGTGTAGGCCACACATTTCTCAAAAAGGGAAAAGAGGGAAGAGAAATGTCTCGATCAATACTGTGAACTAGGAAGGCTGTAAGACATGCTGCCATTGCCATTCTGGCTCACTAGTAAACCCAATGTGGATCCCGGAGCAGAAAGGATCCAAGAGGCCATCTAGTACTCAGAAGTTCCAGGCCTAACCCATTGCCACAAATAGTCTCCACTTTGCTATTATCAGAAAAATATCATATCTGGTCCACTGAGTTCTAATCTGATCCACCCTGCTCCCATAGCAGCCAACACCAGGCCCACTCCATTTCATGAAGGGCGAAAGGAATACTCACTAGCTGCCATTCTCCTATGTCTTCATTCCAATGGACATAGTTTTCAATCATTTCCTTTAGAAAGAGTCAAAGTCTATTTTTAGTCAATAGTTAAAATATTGAAAAATATGAATAGAACTGGGACAATAGAACATGGCATTTGCCTGAATCTATCACTATATATTGCTCATAATGACCCCTTTGATTCCCCCATGTCTTCCCTGAACTAAGCTTTTAAGGGCCCTGCATTTGACCACTATTGTGTGTGCTGGGGGAGGGACATGTCATGGTGCTTATGTGAGGACAGAGAACAACTTTGTGGAATCAGTTCTCTTTTTATACCTCTTGTGGGTTCCAGGGATCAAACTCAAGTCATAAAGTTTACATAATAATAAGACTTTACTTGCTGAACCATTTGACCCATTAGACCTACACTTTCATCAATGTTAAGCGGGAAAAGTTGTTTCTGAACATTATATACTGACTGCATCAAGCATTTAAAAATCTATACTCCTTGGGCTGGAGAGTTGGCTCAGTGGTTAAGATCAACTGTTCTTACAGAGGACACAGGTTCAGTTCCCAGCACCTACATGGTGGCTCACAACAGTATGTAACTAATTCCAGGGTATATGATACCTCTACTGGTCACTGAGCACCAGGCATGCACATGGTACACACATATACATACAAGGAAAACATCCACACACACATACAAACATTCTTTAAGAACACATGCGGATACTATTCAACTACATAAAAACAAAAAGCAAAAGTTGGAATCCTGACAATCAGGAGGACGGACAGGCTGGGCTGAAAAAGGCAGAAAAGCTGGGAAACCATTCAGCTAGAAATAGGTTACAGTATATATTTCAGCTCCAATTCTGGGTAACGAGTTACAACATGGAACTAGGACACCCTGGAGTGTACCAGAAATCCAGGATTGAGTCTGGGTACCTGAGGTCTGAAAGGAAAATTTCCGAAAAAAGTCTCATACCTATTCTGAGATTCACAACATTATTTTTTTTTAATTACACATTTAGGTTTATTAAGAATATACTAGAAGGTGAGCGAAGATGTGGCTCTGTGGTTAAGAGTGTTCACTGCTCTTGCAGACACCTGAGCGTTAAGTTCCTACCATCCAAATCAAGCAGCTCACAATCTCCTCTAACTCCAGTTCTAGGGGACCTAATACTCTAGCCTAGACTTCATGTATAAACTCACATTCCTATATACACACATACTTAAAAAAATAAAATTTTGCTAAAAAAAAAAGATAAGACTTTAAAATTATGCTGGTGATAACAATTACTACCTGTCTGAAAATTACTAGTAATGATGGCTGGTTGTACAACCAAGTGAATATATTTAAGTATTATTGAACTGTATATGTAAAGATGACTAGAATGGGCAATTTCATGTTCTGTTTTTATACATACACACACACAGTGCATACATCAAGGGAGAGGACAGCTGCACATTCTGCTTATTCCTTTATTATTTAAAGAGTATTTATATATGTATTTAATGGATATAAATGTTTTGTCTGCCTGATGCCTGTGAAGGACAGAAGAGGGGTTTGGATCCCTCAGGATTGGAATTACAGATGGTTATGAGCTGCCATGTGGGTGCTGGGAATTGGAGCTGGGTTCTCTAAAAGCAGCAGCCAGAGCTCTTAGTCACTGGGCCACCTCTCTAGCTTTCTAATAAAGCATGTCAATGAGTTAACAGGTGCTTTGCCTTGATTCTGCATGCATTTACATGAACCACAGTCCTTCCCTTCCACAGGCTGGCACATCCTTATTTAGATACTTAAATACTCAAAAAGAGAATTATATTCTAAAAAAGCTAACACCTTTTGTGCTGGCTTATCTTATGCCAACTTGATTCAAGGTAAAGTTATCTGAAAGGGGGGAACTTCATGTGAAAAAATGCCTGCATAAGATACAAAGATACAGTGGTAAGGCATTCCTTCCTTTCTCTATCTATCTATCGAGGCAGGGTTTCACTGTGTAGCCCTGGCTGTCCTGGAACTTTCTGTAGACCAGGATGGCCTCAAAATCACAGAAATCCGCCTGCCTTTTTCTCCTGTGTCCTGGGACTAAAGGTGTGTGCCACCACTGCCTGGCAGGCTTTTTCTTAGTGATTGATGGGGAAGGGTCCAGTCCATTGTGAGTGGTGGTCCTGGATTCTCTAAGAAAATAGGCTTGCTGAGCAAGCCAGTAAGCAGCACCCCTCCATGGCTTCTGCGTCAGCTCCTGCCTCTAGGTTCCTGTCCTAACTTCCTTCACTGATGAACTTAATGTGGAAGTGTAAGCTGAATAAATCTTTTTGTTTCCAAGTCGCTTTGGTCATTGTGTTTGAGAACAGCAATAGTAACCCTAACAAAAACACTTTTATATGATAGCATTAGTTCAAGAAAGCTTTATAGAGGATAGCTGTGATGCAAACATGTAACATCTTAATTAGTTATGCTGGCTCATTCTTTAGCCCTCGTCAATGAACTAATGTATAGATCAGACTCTCCCCTCACCTGGTAATCCTGAGGTATGAAGTTATCAATAATGAGCATCTGAAGCCGAAGCTCACGGCTGAGCTGCCGAATGTTCTCTAAGAGACCTTCAATTTCCCTCTGATGCTCTTGCTGGAGATCGGCCATCTACCAGAGAACACATGACAGTTTAAAGCAAACACAATTTTAAGCTCAAATATTGCACCTGGCCTAGGACACTGATCTATGAGGCCTGATAAGAACTGGCCCAGTTTTTGGACAGATTGACACCATCACTAGCTAGTTCAGATTATTACTTATAGCTGGGGGTAGGGTTTTATTAAGTAAAATTTAAAATACACAGAAAGAAGTGTGTGTTTTAATTCTTTAAATGTATAGGCACACAAGCGGGGCGGTGGTGGCACACGCCTTTAATCCCAGCATTCAGGAGTCAGAGATAGGCAAATCTCTATGAGTTTGAGGCCAGCCTGGTCTACAGAGTAAATTCCAGGACAGCTAGGGCTACAGAGAGAAACCCTGTCTTAGTAACAAAAACAAAACACCTATAAGCATACATTAAGATTCTAACCTGTACTACGGTCAATTTCTAAGACACCAACCTCTGACTTTGCAGCCATCAGCATGGTCCAGACTTTCTTTAATTTCTTGGTCTTTCCCTGTGCCTCCTCTTGCAGACTGGTATATTTTTCCTCAATGTCCAAGCGTTCTTGCTATGATAAAAACAGGTTAACTTCAGAACAATTTTCTTTAAGTTACAAATTCAATGTAACAAATGATCTACATGTTTAGTAACTACTGTTTTCAAAATGATCCATAACCTGCTTTCCATTTTATTTTCGGTATTTAGTTTCTCATTGGGAAAGGTGAGCAAGCTGCAAACACCACACTCAACACGGCATCACCTCTTTTTCCTCAAGTTCTTTCCGAAGTTGCTCAGCTCTCTTCCTCCTCTCCTCCAGCTCCATATTGGACTCCTCGAGAAGTTTCTCTTGCTCCTCAGCTTTGGCCAACAAGTCCACACCACCGACAATGACTTTCTTCTCCAAAGCAGACAGTTTTTCCAGCAAAGACTGATGCTCTTGTCTATAAGGAAAAGGAGAATGTTCTAAATCCCTGTCATCTGCTGCTCTAATCTCACTCCCCTAATTGAATCAGAACTGAATATACACACACTTAGAAAAATTCAGTCATGTGATATCTCTCCAAATCACACCACTAAATGGCATTAACTCATCCACTAAAGTGTAATTCACATTGGCCAATATTTTCCCTACACAGAGATTAAATGATCAGAAATACCCAAACTTTAAAAATATATCACACACAGTAGACCCTCTACTCTAGAACAGCTTTTGTTTTTCCCTGATAGACAATCCTATGAAGAACACTAGGAACTGCAGCCATGAGCCCATCTGGACCCCACCGCACTCACTGGGCTTTCAGCAGGTCCTTCTCCCGTCTCTCCAGTTCAGCTCTAGCCTTGTTTCTTTCTTCTTCTTCCATGTCAAGTTTTGTTTCCAGTGCTTTTCTCTCCTCATCAATTTTCGCTTGCATTTCCACCATCTTATCTGGGGAAACTTTCTTTTTACCTATTTGAGTCATTTAATTGCAGCAGTCACTAAAAGCAGTCAATGTTTCAGACATAAGAATTATCTCAGTACAGCACTGTCCACACCCAGTCATACAACAGCACATGTTAAACTTCCATTTCTACTTTGTAGATCCTAGAACTATTTAATTCGTTAATACATGAATTAAAACTGTTGTCCAACTGTGTAATGATATGTAAGGGCGGAAATGAAAGAGGAACAAAACAGATGAGCAGAAAAAAGGGAAAGAAAAGTAATAGGAAAGGCAAATAAAAAAAGCAGAGCTTGTGGATCCCCAAATGGCATACAGGGGCAAAAAAGGAAAGTGACTCTTCAATCACTTCCACACTCGTTATGTAAGTCACTCATTTAAGGCAGCAGGTGCTTTACACTGATAAGCTGCCCAGGCAAATCATAAATGAGCCACCAAAGTAACTTACTATGTCAGACTAGATCATCAAAGTCCTTAACTCAGATCACACATGCTAAGAACCAACTAATAAGGCTGGAATGCAGCTTCCAACTGACTGCAATGTCCAAGCACGTGAATGGAGATAAATATATATGCAGTCTGTTTACACAAAGTTTACCAATGAACCTCAAAACCATGAAGCGATATGAAAAAAATAAAAAAGAGAAAACAAGCGCTAGGTTATTAAAATGGTTCCGAAACTGAGCCAATGGCAGTTCATTTCTGGTTGATGCAAATTCTTAGAAACGTGCTCACTCAGAACAACAAGCGTTTCATAGAACTGTCAGACCTGAGGCTCTCCCGAGAGTTTGTCATTCTCAACTTCCTTCCCAAGGGACAAGGACAGAGAATTGTAGATTAATGTCTCCACCCCAATCCCAGCCTCTCCTGCTAATAAGGAAAAGGAACTGAAAATCAATCAAGACAGCACTACAGATCTGAGTATATTCTTGTAGGAACCATGAAAGGCAGAATCATCCATAGCCTTTTCAACTCTTGAGATAAAACCTCATTAGAAACTCAAGGGTCTAACGGCATCCTTCCTTCTACAGAACCAAAGTCTAAAACAAAATCTCAGGCACAAAACCAAATAGGAACTAAGAGCTGTGATCCAGGCGGCTGGTGTGGTGTGATTCACTGCACTCCGTGTTGGAGGTGGGCCTGGGCCTATTGGCACAGCCACCTACTTTGAACATTCTGGATTACACTGTAGAATAATTTTCACAAATAAGTTAATGCCTATCCCCAATGAATCACTTGAGAAGATTTTCTATCCATAATAATAGTCATTAAAATTTTGAGGAGAAAAGTCTAAATTGAGGTTTATAGGAAGTACATGTACAATAAAATATGTAACTTCCAACTCAGGATCACAAATGTTTAGAGAAAAATTGCAAATACATTAAAACCAAAATAGTGTGTGTAGAAGGCATGGGTACTAAGGGGACAGACTAAATGATTGGATCAATGTATGAATTGTGGACTTGTAGTGTTTTGTTTTGCTGAGAGTTATAAAAAGTTCCAAAACCCCATCAGGAGGGAGGATTACAGAAAGGGTTTGTGTATAAAAGTGTATAAGCACTGTTTCTTGGTGAACTGATTGGAAAGAAGCAAGCGTCTCACTGTGCTCAAGAGGGTTTCAGTTCAAAAGTACACACATTCAAGTCCATGTGGCTCTAGCCAGAATCACCGGGACAAGCCATGGTATTTTCTTCACATAACACTTGAAACTACATATGACTTTGTAAAAGCCTTGGTGACTAAGAGTAACCTGGACATAGATCTTTAAGGAATGAAGTTTTACCCTGTGCTTCCCTGGATACAAGCCTCAGCCTCCTGTAGAAGCCGAAGAGACCTGCCACCTGTGCAGTCAGTGAGCACTTTGATCCCTCCATGGGTAAGAGACTACATACACTTCTGAAGAGATCTTAAAAAGGAGATGGGGTTGGCCACCCTGGGGGCATTCCCAGAACAATACACACATACACAGTCTCCTCAACCAAATCAATTTTAAAATCACAACAAAAATAAAAACCCAACCTCAGAAACTTTTCTAGTTTTCCATGATAAAATTTTGCACAAATATTTTAAGTAAATAAATCTAAAAAGGCAGCCAGGTGGTGGTGGTGCATGGCTTTAGCCCCAGCACTTGGGAGACAGAGACAAGAGATCTCAGTGAGTTCGAGGCCAGCCTGCTCTACAAATCGAGTTCCAGGACAGTCAGGGTTGTTACTCAGAGAAACCCTGTCTCAAAATAAAAAACAAACAAACAAACAAAAAATCTAAAACGGCATATTGATATTATAAAAGGTATTTAGCTTAGCCAAAGAGAAGTAGTGAGCCCTTCTGTTCCCTTTGGCCAGGTGCTCCCTGAATGAAGGTGGCCTGGCAGGGCAGGTAAGGGTAACTCTGTAGCAAGGGCCAACTAGATTCATGTTATCTGTATCTCAAGCACCTATGGTGTGGGCAACAGGAACTGACTCTTGGCCTTCAAAAAAGGAAAATGTCTGAATGTATATTTTCAAAAACTGGCTTAGTGAATCTTTAAGAATTTAGGGAAAAAGTTTTTTTAAAGTAGCTAAAATGGAGAATTTTTTAAAAAAAAGACATACTTACCTTATAAAAATTATTAAATTAAAAAACTGTGAAGAACTTAAATAAAAGGTCTTGAGAAATGAGTAACTGCACCACGTGGAGTGCAAGCCAATCACACCAACCTGCTTGGTCTTGCAAAGAAGCGGTAAGCGAGTCGCAGACAGGAAACATGTGCACAGAGATGAGGAGGGAAGAAAGGAAAACATTATTTCCTTTGTAAAACAGAGAAGATGTGTAACAGCATTCATTTAGCATGAGCAAAGACATGAATCAAATAATCAAAACTGAAATAGAGTCCACAGAAAAAGAAAGCATGTTCCCTAAGAAGACAATCATGAATGCTAGACTCCATCCACTCTGTGTTGCCCTGGAAACCCCAGATGCCCACAATGCCCCCTGCAAGTGGAACAGCTCAGTGCATATGCTGATGGATTACAGACATGGAATTGGGAACCTACCAAGACCTGGAAAATATGTTAAAACAGCAAAACCAAAAATGAAGTCAATTTTTAAAATTACTAAATTAAAAGTAACAAAGCTCTCATTGTCCATTGCAAAATTTCCCAATTCAATGTTTCTTCTGTATAAAGACCCATTACAGGTGTCCCCCATTTTAAGAAAATCCACCAGGTAGACCTGAAGCAACCAAACAGATAAACTATTTCACAATACTTTATACTGATGTGATTAACAAAAGGGTTAATGAATTTTAAAGGCAGTAAGTTCACAATATTTTATTTTCCAACCTGATTTTTTAAGCAGCTTTCTCTAATTACGTAAAATGAAGTACACCTGTATAGTGGCAAATTTATTACATTCAGCCTATGGGTTGACAGTTCTGGGTATTAAATAATGACTAGAGAAATCAATGACAACTGATGGTTCAAGCAAGGGACATTGAACGGCCATTCATATTTTTTTAATGGGAGGGGACATACACACAAGTTACACACAGCAATCACATGCTGGGACAGTCACCTCTCCACCTCCCCAACACATCCATGTTATGACAACAAAAGTTAGGTGCTAAGTATGAAAACAGCAATTAAAGCTTGTTGAATTGGAAAAAAAAAAGTCTTGAATTGAATAATGAACAACTCATTTCATAACCTACTTTCATATAACTACTCTCTAAGAATGGTTAAGTTTTAGAACAGAAAATTAAATTACAATACTTCCTCTCAGATATTCTCTCTCATTTCACATGTGGTGTCTGGACAATGTCATATATTTTATAAGTTACCCAGTGAGGTCAGCTGCTCTGGGAACTTGCTTCACAGTGTCAACAGACAGGGTCTTGAGACCCTTGAGATTTCCCCCTAAGAGAGCTAGAAGCAATGGTTTCTGCCATTAGTCTGGAAAAGGTAAGGACACAGATAATGCTCTAAGAGACAGCAAGCTGTAAGCTGGAGGAAGCAAGCATCACTCCCATTTTCTTCTCAATGTAGAAATAGACAAAATTTAAAATTGCTTTTCAACTTACAGTTTACAAAACAATTAAGACTGCAGAAGTCGACAGACTTTAGGAACTCTGTGTGACTCTGAATTTTCTCACCACATTGTGGATAGTCTTAAAGTCAACCCGGTAACTTAGAGGTGGGAAAGCTTCCAGTCGGAGCCAAACACTACTCAGTCTCCTTCCCTTGCCTAGGCCTCACTCATCTCTTTATTTGGAGCAGTATGGCCTGTTACATCGGGTGCTGCTGCACCAATACAACATTAATTTGGACTTACAGAGATTCAAGATTTGTTGTTTACATCTCTTACACTGACCAGAGTTTTAAAACGTATAATGAGGCATAAAAAAGAACTCTGAGAATTATTTTTTCCTACAGCTTACTAGCTCTCTTTACATTATCTCAGCAGCAAAAGCATGATTCTCTCTTCCACTGTCTCAAACATAGGCTCCAGCCTATGTTTCACAGTTAACTGAAGCCATGGCAGGGTGGGACCAACATGCTTTTCTACTGGGACCCCAACATGGACCAGTCATGACAGGGAGTGAGGCAGCCATCTCCCAAATGAAGCCCATGAGTGATGGAGAAGCCAGAGCTCTGTTAGAGAAGGTGAGGGCCGCCACTCACGAGGCAAGAACTCATCCAGAGGCTTCTCTATGACAGAACATGTGGAGTCTGAGCTACTGCTGCTGCTACTGCCTGCAAGACAAAGAAACGAGCCCACGGAACCAGAGAGAGGGACAGGAAATGAACAAAAATACACGAAGAAAACTTGAGTTCTGCAGGAAGAAGTTAGAGGACAATCAAGCTCTGCACTCAAGAGCAACTCACTCTACTTTAAAATTAAGTACTTTAGCTGCTTCCTTGTCACAAAGCCATGCAGGGACTCAAAACTGCATTTCTTTACAGATCTGCAGTAGTGGTAAACCCCACTACTCATCTAAACATAATTATTCTGAGGGCTGAAATAACAAAAAAGTCATCTGATGACATGCAAGTCTATTTAAGCTGCTAAGAAAAAAGAAACAGCTTTAAAACGTATTTTTAAAAAAAAATCACACAATTCACGTTACAGAAATCAGTTGCCTTTCATTATAGACAAAGTACTGTCTCCAATTCCCCATCCCCTCAAGACATTACATTGCCAGACTTAATGGCTTATATCTAAAGAGTGACAGCATAATTGATAATTGATAAGGCTCAGAAAAAAATGTTAAGCTTCTCAGCACAGGGTTAAGACATAGTTAAAACACTGTAACATATTAAACAGTGGTACTTTTTTCTACATGAAATTAATTTTAATAAGTCTACTATCTGCTTCAAGTCAGAAAACAATAATTTACTCTGAAAATCTAGCTATGAATAAAAGCATTTTTAAGTCAGGGACTGATAAACAGTTTCTGTCAAAGGACCAACAACTAGGCCACTTGATGTGAGAGCCCCAGACCACATGTAAACACATGATCGTAGCTGCTTTAAGAACACTTTATTTACAAAAACAGGTTCCATATGGACTTGGCCAGCACACTGTACTCTGCCAACTCCTGCCCTATAGAATCTTCAGTCTTTAATTTGAGTTCCCTATACAGCAGTGATGGGTTTGTTTTCAACAAGATGGATTAACTATGACTGCAGCAGCCTGCAGGAGCTGGGCAGAGCTCTGAGTTTGAAATGAGGTAGGGACATCTTTTCTCCATGCCATCTGCCATCAGCAGTCTTAGTTCATGCTGGAGGTTGCCCCGAAGGGTGAGAATGATACACAGCTTACAAAGGACTTCAGTGAAAAACTATGATCCTCATTCACACCTACCAGCGGCAAATGATTTTTAAAGGCTAACAACCCTTGAAGAAAAAGCCCACATTATCCTAACTTCAAAAGCTGGTAGGGACCTAACACAGATGCAAAACTGTAAGACAGTATAGCTACCACCACAGAGTTTTACAACTTAAAATTTTACAAGTGACAATATGGCATCCTGTGTCAGTCCGTAAGAGAAACAAGAGTGTGTAAAAGTTAACCACACACAGCATTAGTTCCCTGCTGGAACCACTACTACAATTAAAAATACCAAACATACAGTGGGCACCATCAGGGAGCAATTCTAACCTGTTGTGACCGGTTAGAAGTGAACAGCACTTACCCCTTCTCTTCTTCCTTTTTTCTCCATCTTCTCCAAGCTCACCCTCCTCATTGTCATCCTCCTCTGACCCACTGATGTCAGAGCCTGAAACTTCTTCACCTTGGACAGAAATTTAACAACAATTTTAGTCTGTACCAAGTCAGCAGCTATTTAGAAAATGTCTATATCCATTCTCTTAAGCTTGCGTTGCTCAAACACAAATAGAAAATCTATTTAAATGGTCACAGACAGTGTATCTGACAAGCGGGTGAAGACTGAGGATCCCTGAGGTTTGCTGACAAGCCAGCCCAGCCTACTTGGGGAGTTCCAGGTCAGTGAGAAAGCCTGTCTTCCCCTAGCTCAGCAAAAAAGTGGACAGTATCTGAGGAACAACACCCCTTCTGTCCTCATCTCTAAGCATGTGCACATGCATATAATTACATACAACCACATGTACAATGTACACAGAAATTTTATTTTCCTTTTTTAGAAAAAGTAATTTTTGAGATAGGTTCTACCTATGTAGCTCCGGCTGGCCTGGAACTCATAGCACTCTGCCTACATTTGTCTCCTGAGTGCTGGGGTTAAAGATGTATACCTTCATGCTAGCTTTAAATTTTATTTTTATAGCCCTAAAAGAGAAGTTAAAATCTGACCCACTGTGAGTACAGGTGTAAGCATACGCAGGTCTTATGTGCTAGCATTTGCATTTTTTTGCATTTGCATTTTTAAAAATTCGATAATTAGCTGGTTGGTGTTGTATGCCTTTGTTCTCAGCACTGGGGAGGCAGAGGCAGGCCTTTGCCTACAGAACATAGAGTCAGAAGGACACAAATAAAGTGAAACATATTACAAAGAATGTAATGACTTAAGACTCTGCCAGCACAGTATGCATAAGGACTCGAACATGTGCATCCAATGCACACAGCCACACCACTCACAAGGACCAAGAAGTGCAGCAACACCTGGCTGTGGTGGCGCACACCTTTAATTCCAGCACTTGGGAGGCAAGGCAGGCAAATCTCTAAGTTCGAAGCCAGCCTGGCCTACATAATGAGTTCCAGGACAGTCAGGGCTACAGAAAGCCACCCTGTCTTGAAGAAAGAGAGGAGATGGGGGGAGAGGAGAAAGAGAGAGATAAATGAAATATCAAAATGAAGGCATGCAGTTCAGCAATAACTGGGAAATGAAAGATCTTAGAGCACAAACTGACTACAAATGCCACCTAGTGGCCATTTTTTAAAAAAAACGCCAACTTTATTATCTGTGAAGTGGTTCTCTACTGCTTTTTTCAGAACCTGGCTTTCCCCACACTAGTGGCAGTTGGCACCTCTGGGTTTTCTCCAGAGACTCCAATGGCTTGGACTCCTGGCCTGTCACCTGCTGCACAGGGAGCTCTCCGTCAGTCATAGAGGGTTCAGAACCACCATTCGTCAGGACTTCAAACTTTCTTTTGCTATTGTTTTGGTTTTTCAAGATGGGGTTTCTCTGTGTAGCCTTAGCTGTCCTGGAATTCATTCTGTAGACCAGGCTAGCCTCAAACTCAGACTGTCCTGCCTCTGCCTCCCAAGTGCTGGGATTAAAAGCGTGGACCACCATCATTGGTTGGGACTTCAAAATTTGTAACCTTCTAGATGGTCTTAGAAAACATTTTCTTAGAAGACACATATTCCTCAGAAATATTTTTAAATGTCGATGTTAGGGTCCAACAAAGGGCTCAACAGGTAAAATATTTGCCCTCTAAGCCTGACATGAGTTCAATCTCCAGAACCAGAGTGCAAGGACAGAACCAGTTCCCACAGGTGTCCTCTGATCTTCATACATACACCATGGCATGTGTGTGTTTGCACCCACACATGTCCAACACACACAGAGGTACACACATAGATCCTTTAAATACCAACGCTAGAGGCTATTGCTTGGCAGGTCGTTTTGGAAGCAAATGCAGTGGTCACCAACATGCCTCAGCTGACAGTAATCTTTGAGAAGTTACCTTCCTCGAGCTTTTTCTTCAGCTCTTCTATTTCCTTCTGGAACTGGCGGAGCAGAGCATCCTTAGGGTCTTCGTTAATTCTCGCTTTGTTTTTAATGTTCTTGGCACGGTTGGCATACCGCAAGGTACTGATGGTTTCATCGTAATTATAATCTGCTGGCCCAATATTTGCACACTGTTGAATTAGAAACATAAATCATTCTACACCACTAATACCACCATCAACAAACATTCAAACCACATATGCAGACTGGTCTTCTAAAAACCAGAATCAATCATACAGGTATGGAAACAGTACAACCATGGGCAATTAATTACATGTTGTATTACACAAAGAAAAGGAATTGATTTGTAAAATGCTATTCACATCAACTATGGACATAAATTAGAATCTTAAATTGGCCATGACTGAAGTCTTACCATCATGGTTTTTGAGTTCCCTCCTAAAGAATCCTGCAGGAGACGTGTCAGTTTAGAGTTTCGATACGGCACATGCGTGCTTTTTCCATCCACCAAGGCAGAAATGACATTGCCCAGGGTGGAGAGTGAAAGATTGATTTTTGTAGCTTCCTTGAGACGTTGTCCTGTGGCTCCAGTCTTTGCTTGTCTTTCTGACCCCTGGCAAGAAAAAGACAAAAATAAACTAAAAGTTTTTTAAAATCAAGAATACACTTCTAAAATCTGGGTTTTAAAGTAATTTAAGCAAATTCATGTAACGTCTGGAATTCACTTCAAAATAATGAGGGGAGAAGTAGGAACAGGCAAAGAGCCCAGGCAGGAGATGAAACAGTACAGATACTACTACTAGATCTACTGTCAGCTACCCCACAATAACAAGTAATTTTAAATCACATGCACCACACCTTTTGGCTTTAATTTTTATTAACAGATAAACAAACCACAGGGACAAACTTTCCCTTAAGTAGCATCCTGCTACTTACTGCAAGATCCACGAGATGCAGCTTCCCCATCCTGACATGCATGTTTCCATCGACGCCTTTCTCACTACATTCTATAGTAATTGTAAAGATGGCATGGGATCTTGAACTATGCTCATTCATGTTAGTTGCACCAACAGAACCTTAAAAAAAAAGAAAAAATCCTTAAAAACTGTAACAGAATAACAGAATGCCCTTATGCTTATTTGTGTGTGTGTGTGTGTGTGTTTTCTTTGTTTGTTTGTTTTTTGTTTCAATGGGGTGTCCTGTAGCCCAGGCTATCCTTGAACTTTGATCTCCTATCTTTACCTCTGGAGTACCACCACCCACAGTTTAGAGTGCTGGGGATTGACCCAGGCCTTGATGCATGCTAGATAAGCACTCTACCAATTGATCTACTCTCAGCCCAGAGAGTGCCTTTGTTAATTAAACACCTGAAACATTTAAAACATCACGGTCAAAGCCACTGACTATGACTAACTATAAGTGACAGGTATGTTTGGTCACTGTACAGTTCTTTTATAATTCACACTATAATTAAAGAATCTGTACTCACATTAAAACATAATCATAGCATAACATTCTTCACTTCATCCTCAAATATTAAAGTATAATCACATAATAATATTCTTCACTTGACTCCCAAATATTACTATGTAAAGATTATAACTATCTACGAAGCTGGACGTGGTAGTGTGTACTTAGGAGACCAAGGCAGGAGAACACATCAAGCTAGGTAACCTAGGCCAGCCTTGGCAACATAGCAAGATCTCCTCTCTTCAAAAACTATTATATCACAAGAAGAAACACATGCTGAATAACTGGGAAAAAAATGCTGACAACTTTCTCTAGAGAGTTATGTTTGGGACTCCAAACTACAGAATGATTTGCACACACACATTAGATGATGCAGGAGGAATCAGGGTTACACACACTGAAATAGAGAGGATCAGAAAGATCCAACCCAACACTGGTTAATCAGCTAAGTCACTACAGAGCCATTAAAAACATGAGGTGGATCCATATCCAGTAACATCAAAAGATGCCTATCCCACAGGAACTTTGTTAAAACATGAAGAGCTGGGCATAGATGGTTTGAGTATTTAATCTCAGAGCTCAGGAGGCAGAAGCAGGTGGAACTCTGAGGCAACTTCATTTATACATCAAGTTCCAGGCCAACCAGGGCTACATGTGAGACTTTGCTAAAAACAAAAACAAACAAATTTTAACTCATGCTAAACAATCAGTGTGGAATTCATTTTTTGTAATCCTAGTACTTAGGAGGCTAAGGCAGGAGGATCACAAGTTTGAGGACAGCATGGGCAAGATAGTTCTGTCTGGCTTAAAACTTTATGTAGACAAAGCTGGCCTCAAACTCAGAGGTTCATCTGCCTCTGCCTCCTGAATACTAGGATTAAAGATATATGCTATCACACCTGGCAAGATTTGTATCCTTTAGATTAAAAATCTAGTAACAATTACTAGAAAGAGAAAATGTAATTTTGCTTTTCTTTTCCAGAAGGGAAGCAGTATATATTCTGGCTAACTCAGACTAATAGCCTAGGTTCAAACACTCACCCTACCACTTAGCAATTGTATTACCTTAGACATGGTATTTAAACTACATCTGTGTCCTTATTTATGAAGTAGGAACTTCATATCCCTATAGACTACACTGAAGACTAATTGACCATCCCCATAAAGCATACAGCACAAAATACCTCCCACTCATTAAACTAAGTAGGCAATCAAAATGTTACCAATTTTAATGAGCAAGCCATAACAGTATGACAGTGTCAAAGACTGGCACTACTAAGAGGCTGGAGAGGATTTTGGTGGCATACACTTTTAATACCAGCACTTAGAAGGTAAAACAGGCATATCTCTGTGAGTATCAGGCCCACCTGGTATATATAGTAAGTTCCAGGACAGCCAAGACTATGTAGAGAGATCCTGCATCAAGAAAACAAAAACAAACAAACAAAGAGACTGGACAGGTGGCCATGAAGTTAGGAGTGTCTACATGTCTACTGTTCTTCAGAGGACCAGGGTTTGGTTCCTGGCACTCTTGACTGATCACATTTGTAACTCCAGTGCCAGGAAATCTTACTCCTTCTTCTGACATTTGTGGGTATTGCATACATGTGATGCAGCACTTACATGCATGCCGGCAAAACTCAAAAGTCTCATACAAATAAAATAAAAAGTCTTACTAGGATAGTAAGACACTGTCTTGAAAGGGAGGAAGGATTAATTAGTACTAATAAAAAGAAAATTTCAGTCATAATGAAAAACAATCTATGTTATTGTTCACTTATATATGTTCCCTAGATAGTAAATAAGTGAACTTTAAAAAGAAATTCAGCAGACAGGGGTTGGTGAACCATGCCTTTCATCCCAGCACTCAAGAGGCAGAGGCAAGCGAATCTCTGTGAGTTCGAGGCCAGCCAAGTCTACAGAGCTAATTCCAGGACAGGCTCCACAATAAGAGAAACCCTGTCTTGAAAAACCAAAAAGAGAGAAAGAAAAATTCTGTAATACAGAGAAACCCTGTCTCTAAAAACAAAACAAAACAAAACAAAAGAAACAAACAAAAGTTCAACCTTGGGGCTGGAGAGGTGGCTCAGAGGTTAAGAGCACTGGCTGCTCTTCCAGAAGTCCTGAGTTCAATTCCCAGCAACCACTTCGTGGCTCACAATCATTTATAATAAGATCTGGTGTCTTTTCCTGGCCTGCAGGCATGCATACAGAACACTGTATATATAATAAAGATTAACAAAAAATTCAACCTCTATGGTGCAAAAGCCATTATTTATTTGCTTCTCAATCAGCATTTGAATATAGGCATTTCATCACAATTATATACCACACTTACGATTTTTGTGACCTAATGTCATGATTCTATCCATGTCATCAGCATTATTGACCACATAAGCTGATAAATCTTTGATATATACTCCCACATCAGGTCTTTCTTTAACCTAAAAAGCAAACAAAAATCATGCTATGGCTTTATATTTGTAACAATAAGTTTCCCAGTTACTTATTGAGCATCTATTGTTATATGTGGGAAGATAGTTGAACATGGTTGTAAACAATGCCCATAATCTCAAAGGTGATAATAAATCAGTACAAATTAATACTGCACACAAAATTGTTTGTGATGATGCCATGAATAATATACAAGACAGTATGAGAGGATAGTTCACTGTGTGTGTGTGTGTGTGTGTGTGTGTGGCGTGCGTGCATGTGTGTGTTTTGTGCATGCCAGGGCACACACGAAGTCAGAAGACATGTGGGAACTGGTTCTCCCCTTCCACATGTGAATACCAAAGATTAAACTCAGGTCCTCAGGCTTAGTGTCAAAGTCCCTTTACCTGTTGAACCATCTTGCCAGTCCTGGGAATGTATTCAAGGACAAGCTAGCCAAAGGAACAGGGCAAATTTCTGCCATGTGATATTTAACCTAAAACTTACAAAAATAGAAGGCAGACTGATTTGGTGTAGAACACCGGCAAGGATCTTTAAATAGAAAAATCAAACTGGGCACTTACAAAAATAAAAACATTCCAATACTAATGTTTAAAAGGCTCATCTTTTCTTGTTTGTCTTGTAGCTTAAAATATTTTTAAGACGACAATATCTCCCAAATTTAGCACCCGAACTCAGCAGCTATGCTCAAATGAGTTTGTACTTATAAATGATACATGGCGGTAGTTTTTTAAAGTACCTTGTACAAAAAGGACCTTAATTTGGTAAGCACTCTATTCCAATTTTTTCATATTTCTTTTTATTTATTCTTTTCTCACACAGAACATCCCGACCACAGCCTCCCTTTCCTCCACTCCTCCCAGTCCCCATTTCCCTCTGCCCCTGAACCTCCCCTCTTTCCCCAGGCCCTTCAGAAAAGAGCAGGCCTCCCAGTGATATCAACTGAACACAGCATTAACAACTATGGTGGTTTGAAAGAAAATGCCCCCCAAGGGGGAGTGGCACTAGCAGGAGGTGTGGCCTTGTTGAAGGAAGTTATATCACTGTGGGGGAGGGCTTTAGGTCTCTTTTGATCAAGCTTCCCTCATGTAACTGTCAGTTGACTTCCTGTTGCCTGCAAGCCAAGGCATAGCCAGTACCACATCTGCCTGCATTCTACCATGCTCCCCAAAAGTGATGATTATGGACTGAACCTCTGAAACTGTAAGTGAACCACCCCAATTAAATGTTTCCTTTGTAAGAGTTGCTGTGGTCAGATGGGCGTGGTAACATTTGCCTTTAGTCCCAGCACTCAGGAGTCAGAGGCAGGTGGAGCTCTGTTCGAGGCCAGCCTGATTCATAAACTGAGTTCCAGGATAGCCAGAACTGTTACATAGGAAAACCCTGCCTCAAAAAACCAAAAGAGAGAGATGCCATGGTCATGATGTCTAGTCATGCAGTAAAACTAGACACAAACCCTTATATCCAAGCTGGATGAGGTAACCCAGTATGAGGAAAAGGGTACTAAGAACAGATAAAAGAGTCAAAGGCACCTCCACTCCCACTGTTAGGAGTCCCACAAACACCCCAAGCTTTGCACACAGCATGTGTGCAAAGGACCTAGCGCAGACTCATGCAGACTCCATGACTACTGCTGTAGTCTCTGTGAGCCCCTTTGAGTCCAGCTTACTCGATTCTGTGGGCCATGTTCTCAACCCCTCTGGCTTCTACAATCCTTCCCAGCTTCTGCAGGGTTCCTCAAGCACTGACTAATGTTTGGGTGTGGGTCTCTGTATCTGTTCCCATCAGCTGCCAGGAGAGGCCTCTCTGATGACAATTGGGCTAGGCACTGGTCTATAAGTACAGCAGTCTATTCTAATTTTTTTTTTTCAAAACAGGATTTCTCTGTATAGCTCTGGTTGTCTTGGGACTCACTCTGTAGACTAGGCTGGCCTTGAACTCAGAGCTCCACCTGCCTCTGCCTCCTGAATGCTGGGATTAAAGGCATGCACCACCACCACATGAACTCCAATTTTTATCTTAACTCCAATTCCATCCTTACCTCCAACCGTTGTGTCTGATCCTTGCCCAAAAGGTCTCGAACTTCTTCATTATATATCTCCAAGTATGACACTCGAACTAAAAACCTGCAAGAACAAAGGAATATTCGATTCTTAAATAAGTTTATAAATTTGATGCCTTGAGCTCTTTCTCAGGTCTGTACCTCTCAATATTAGGAAATGGAAGCACTTTCTCACCTTGTGTCACCCTCTGCTTTTGCGATGTGACCAAATATGTGAGCAAATGAGTTTGGGATGACTCCTCTGAGCCCCGGCACGGCACGGACACCTTCCATAGTGAAAGTTTTGCCTGTCCCAGTCTGTCCATATGCAAAAATGGTCCCTGAGAATGGTGCAGAAAGTCTGTTATTTCCAGAGTCTGATGATCCAGGACAATGAATCCTAAATTAAGCTGTTACATAAGATACTCTCTAAACTAAAACTTCATTCTAAAACTGGACACAATGGAACGCATCTTTAATCCCAGCACTGGAAAGGAAGTGGTGAGAGGATCATTGCAAGGGCAGCCTGGGCTACGTAGTAAACCTGTCTCCAAAACAACAACAACAAAAGCCAAATGGTGGTGGCATACCTTTAATGCCAGCTAGCACTCAGAGGCATTAAAGTTTCAGGACAGCCAAAGTTACACAGAGAAACCCTGTCTCAAAAACAAAAACATATTCTAATACACATGCAACCTTTAATATCAAATTGTACAATAGGTGTCAAGTATTAGCCAGGTGGTGGCAGCACACCTTTGATCCCAGCACTCAGGAGGCAGAGGCAGGTAGATTGTGAGTTTGAGGCCAGCCTGATCTACAGAGTGAGTAGCAGGACAGGCTCCAAAGCTACACAAAGAAACCGACCAAGATGGAGTAATAAAGATTAAACTAACCAAACACCCTGGCTAGAATTGAAAGTAGAAAAAAAAAATGAAAGCAATAGTTTTCAAAACAATTAATTAAAAAACAATCTAATCCAGTTGTGGTGTCATACACCTTTAGCTCAGCACTCAGGAGGCAGAGGCAGATAGATGTCTGAGTTTGAGGCCAGACGGGTCTACATAGTGAGTTCCAGGACAGTTAGAGCTACATAGAGAAGACCCTGCCTCAAAAGCCAAACAAAATTCTGGTTTCCATACTCCTGCCCTTAACTAAAGCCCCAAGGAAACTTCCTTATGCTGAAAACCAGAAACTGGCCAGGCCTGGGTGGGCTTACAGTGGGAGGTGTATGCTAGCCACCTCTTCAACCTCACCTAAGGACTGAGTGGGTCTCATTCATCCCAGTTCCTTAGCCTACAGCAGACACAGGAAAATGCTTGTTGAATATGGTCAAACACAGAGCTTAAGAAAGACCAACAAATCCAAGTCACAGAACAAGAGAAGGCCACAAAAAGAGAGGCCAGCAGACTTACAGTGAGAACTCCAAAATGAGGCTCGAGTGACCTAAGTCTGGAGGAGGCAACATCCTGGGGAAAGAGATTCAGGGAGAGCTCTGGACATTAGCAGAGGATGCTCAAGTATGAGTACCCACCAGAATACAAGTTGGAGGAAGGAAGCCATCTAATGGGAGTGGGGAGAAGCACATTTAGAGATTGGAAAGGACAGCCACTATTCACACTAGCCAAGAACAGACAGACTGGAAAACCCCACAATGTACAGGATGTTTAGTATAATACACAAAAGGATCTTACCTAAATAGTGGGGAAGGATGAACCACTGTGCTGGTCTTGAAAGAGATCTGAAACTAGGCATGGTGACACATGTCTATGATACCAGAAGTTAAGGGGCAGGAAAAGGAGGATTCAAGATCATCCTAGGCTACATGTGAGTCTGAGGCTAACTTGGGCTATATGGCAAGTTTGAGGTCAACCTAGGCTACATGAAACCCTGACTCCAAACCAACAAGAAAGAAAGGAAGAAAAAGGAGGGGGTGGGTGAGGGAAAAATAAGAGAGAATGAGAATATGTCTCCCTAAAAGGATCAAACTGGTTTTCAAGTAACTGCTCTGAGAACAAATGTTTATAGGAACTAAAAAAGACCAAGAATTATGGTAAAATTCACAATGTCTAGCATCCAGCCAGAAATTGCCACGTCTACAAAAAAGCAAAATGATATGTCTATTAAAGAAATCAGTCAGGGCTGGAGAGATGATCAGAAGTTGAGAACGAGCACTGGCTGCTCTTCCAGAGGACCTGAGTTCAATTTCCAGCAACTACATGGTAGCTCACCACCACCTATAGGGGGATCTGATTGCCCTCTTCTGGCATAAAATTGTACATGCAGATACAGCACTCATACATAAAAGAAATAAATCTTTTTTTTTTTAAAAAAAGAATATTTTATAATAAAAGAAAAAAAGAAAAAGACAACAGTCAACTAAAACCAAGTCAAAGTAAGAGCAGCCAGAATTGGTGCCCAAGCAATCAACAGGGCTAGAGACACAAATGTGAGGCATGAAGACCCCAGGCATCTAGACACACAGACCACACAGCCCACAGTGTGGGGGACAGGAACGCAGTGAGAGTGCTACAGGCAAACGAGGCCTCATAAAGGGGATCAGTGCATCAGAAAACATAATCACACAAGCAAAAACCGAGAAGACAGAAAACAAAACTGGAGCAGAGCACCGGGCAGCCACAGGACAGTTTCAACGCTTCTACATATCTCTGGAGTTTTCAAAAGAAATGAGGACGAGGACTAAAAATATTTGAAGAAAGAACAGCAGAAAATTTCCCACAATGGATGCAATCTGTAATCTACAAATCCAAAAAGTTTAATACCACAATACAAAGAAAGACCCGACAAAGCACAGGACAATCAAATAAAGTGAAACCAACAACAAAGCAAAAAGTCTTCAAGGCAACTGTGGAGAAAGACATACTTGGGATGATGGTGGGGCGGCACCCCAGTAGGACTGCACTTTCAGGGCACTGAGACGCTTCTGTGCAGAGGCACTTGCCATGCTAATCTGGCCACCTGAGCCTGAACCCTGGAGCCACTGTGATGGCGCAAGAAGAGAACCAACTCCACAGAGATGTCCTCTGGCTTCCACTCAAGCCCTGCGGCCATGTACACGCCATTCTCCTCCTATTTCTCTCTCTTTCTCTCTCTCTCTCTCTCTCTCTCACAATCACCCACACATACACACACACACACACACAGAGAGAGAGAGAGAGAGAGAGACGTACACTTTTTAGAAAAGAAATGTGCTTTCAATATCAAAACACAAATGGATTAAAAGGACAGAGAAAGGACACAGTGTGTCTGTATCAATACCAGACACAGCCAGTTCCAGAGCAAAGAGTAAGGGGGATGATTTCACAGGGTTAAGGATGTAGCTTAGTCATAGAGCACTTCCTAGCAAGCAAGAAGCCCTGGGGCAGAAAAGAACAAAAACCCAAAACAGAAAGAACAATTACACACACACACACACACACACACACACACACACACACACACACACACGTCACCAAGATGGCAAATTCTAAGCATTAATGCACCTTCTCACAGAGCTCCAAAATATATAAAAAAGAAAGAACAAAAAGTAAGAAGCCCAGTATGGTAGTTTTTTTTTTTTTTTTTTTTTTTTAAGTATAAGGGTATGCATTTGATCTCCATCCCCCAACTCAGGGGCCAATACTAAAAATCAACTAGAATTACTAAGTTTAGCAAGGTTGCAGGACACAACGTTGCTAAATATATAAAATCAACTGCAAGTCATGCGACAGCACTTTGTGCCATTAGAGACCAACATTACCAAAATGACAGTAACAGATGCTGGCAAGGACACGAAGGCACTGGAATGCTCACATTGCTGGTAGGAATACGAAATGGTGATGTCACTATGCAATACCATTTGGCAGGTCTTCAAAGGTCAAATAAAGTTACCCCATTACTCGGGATTCCTACTCCTAGGTGTGTATGTTCAGAAAAGTTCAAAGCATGTACAAGAATATCCATAACAACATTATCCCTAACACTCAAATGTTCAACTGATAAATGTAGAAATAAAATGCATCCATACAATGGAATATTATTTGCTCACAAAATGAATGAATGCTGATACATTCTACAATAAGAATGAACCTAGAAGATTCTGTGCTAATGAAAGAAGCCAGATAAAGACTATGCCAGGGCAGGAAAACTGCAACAGAGCAGTGGCACTAAGAGGACCAAAGTGGCGGAGACTGAGGTCCAGAGTCCTCCTGGGTGGCTGTAAACAGTCTAAGAACACTGTGATCCACTGAAAACCTATGCTGTAAAATGATGAATGGATTTACTTCAATTTTATCTTAATAAGAAAAAATATTTAAAAAATGCATTTCTGTATATATATACATATATATTCATATACATTCATACATACATACAGGTATATACACATGTATGTTGTTGTTCTGTTTTTGTTTTGTTTTTTCCTGAGACAGTGTTTCTTTTCACAGCTTTGGCTGTCCTGGAACTAGCTCTGTAGACCAGGCTGGCCTCAAACTCACTGAGATCCACCTGCCTCTGCCTCCTGAGTGCTGGGATTAAAGGGGTGCCACTGCCCGTCACATTTCTGTATATCAACAATACTTAATCACAAGATAAAATTATGCACATAATTCTATTTACAATAGAATACTGAGAAGTGGGCAAGAGAGAGGCTGAATGGGTAAGACACTTGCCACCAAACCTAACAACCAAGTTTGATCCCTGGGATTTGCATTGTAGAAGGCAAGAAATGACTCCCCCAAGTTGTCTTCTGGTTGCTATACACATGTGCTCACACAAGTAAGTAAACATAATTTTTAAGCTTCTAATAATAACATGAAAACTATTAGAAGAAGTGAGAGCTTAATTAAGCAAAACATAAATAGATAGTCATGTTAAAGAAACTGAAGACTCCTTAGTGTCAATACAGCAGTTCAACACAGCAGTTCAACACAACTGGATCAATATTGCAAAGGCTATTTTACAGAAACTGCTAAGGTGTTTATAAAATCTACATGAAAATACAAAGGGCAAAACCAAGTTTGAAAACCAACAAAAAGACAAAACAAACAAACAAACAAACTCAGCCAAGTTGGAGGATGTAGTTGCTACCTAACTACAACAGCACTACAAAGCTACTGCTATCAAGGCAGACAGGCCATGGAATAGGACAAGTAGTGCAAAAGTAAGTACACATATTCATGAAGATTGCTTTTTGACATTCCCCCAATCCCCCAAAACCAATTCAACAGCAAAAGAAGGAACTTCTTGTTGGCTTTGTTTTGGGTGTTTTTGGTGGGGGGAGGGAAGCAAGGTTTCTCTGTGTACCCCCGACTTTCCTGGAACTTGCTTTGTAGCCAGACTGGCCTCAAACTCAGAGATCTGCCTGCTTCTGCCCCCAATCTGCCAGGATTGAAGGTACACACCACCACCATCAAACAATGCTGGAGTAATGGGGTATCTAACATATCTATATCTATATGTGTGCTTACCATTGGCAATCCAATTTCAGGGATCTATCCAAGACAAACTTTACGTCTTTACAAAAACATATAGCAGCATTACTTGTCTTAGCAAAAAGGCTATACTTCCATCAACTGGTAAATGGGCAGAATGTGTTACATAAAATAGAATGCAATTCAGAGAGGTGGAGGCTGGAGAATCAGGAAGGTGTTCCATTCTAGCCTCAACCACAAAAAAATTCAAGGTCAACCTGGACTATATGAGACCCTGTCTCAATTGAGAAACACAGTAGTATTAAAAAAAAATCACAAAATAAGTCAGGCATGGCAGCAAAAGCCTTTAATCCTAGCACTGGGGAGGGGCTAACCTGGCCTACAAACTGGCTATCCAGTTACAGGACAGCCAGCATTATTATTACACAGAGAAACCCTGGCTGCAACCAGGCTGGATTCTCAGCACCCAAACAGTGGCTTACAACCATCTTTAACTTCAGTCCCAAGGACTGACTGTTCTTTTCTGACTTCCATAAGCACTGCACACATGTAGTTCAAGCACAGACCTACACATAGGCAAAATAACTACACACATAAAATAAAAACAAAAAAATAAAAAGATCGATATTATGATGTCACTTAAATGAAATTTCAAAAAGAGAAAACTATGGTGTGTGACGGCAGATCAAAGGATGCAAGGTGGGAGGTTGAAAAAACACTGGAAAGGAATTCTTGAGGATGACATTAGGGTTCTAAACAGTACTGTGCTGAGCTCTCACAGCTGTATGTTTACCAAAACTCATCAAGCTGTCGTTGCAATAGGTAAACTTATCTTACTAGGTATTACTTTTACAAGAATAAAATTTTATTTTTTTAAGCAAGCCGCATATTCACTCACCATTGTAGCCTTCCAGAACAGAATCAATAATAGGTCTTGCAGTTAAGTTATATACATCAAGTTGTTTACTTTCTGGTCCAAAAACAGTATCAAAAGTAAATGTCTTTGGAGGTTCGTTGGAAGAATCAGTCTTATGGACGGTGATAGTTCCCCTCATCTCATCCACGCTGACGGCCTGTCTATAGCACATTGATTTCTCTCTTTCATTGAGGGGCCGGCACCTAACAACAACCTTCACATTATCACAGCTCTCTGGCTTCTCGGATTTATTGATCTGGTGGAGACAATGTTTACAAAGAATGAAATGAACATTCATATTGCCCTAAACTTATCACTGAAAAAGGCTACTTTTCTACCTCAGCATCCTGAATGTGCCAAGATGCCACAAGTCTTTGTTAAATGCAATTAAAGATCTATACATATACAGAAAGGATGCCAAAAGGAAATTTCTTTTGCAATACAAGAGAGGAGACCTTGTTTACATCTGTAGTAAATGCTTTGAATGCAGAAAATTAACTAGTATATATGACATGTGCTCAACAGTCCCCGACATCTTCTGAATTTCCTGCCTGCAAAAAAAGCACAAGTGAACATGGTTGACAAGCTTTATCAAGAATGTGAAAGGTCATTATAGACACTATGGTGCACTTCAGGAGGCAGAGGTAGGTGGATCTCTGTGAGTTTGAGACGAGCCTATATGTGAGACCCTGTCTCAAAACAAACCAACAATGTATGAGGTCCTTTGCTCTCCCACGGCATCCAGTTTCATTTCCTAGGATGCATTTGTAAAATTCTTATCATATAAAACACCCATACATGACTTACCATCTCTACAGAAGATAACAGTTAAGCACAGAGAAGGCCAATGGCATACAAGGAAAAAAGTCTAATGAATGTTTGTATAAAGTTTTGATGTTCACAATCTTACATGACTAAGGAACTAAGTCAAAACTATCAATATGCTTCTCTCCAACTCAGCCTTCATCACCTTAAGCTAAGTCACATCACCTGGGCCTGGCATTACTGTCTCCTGTGCTCCTGCATCTAATTAAGCTGCCTTTCAATCTGTCCTCCTACGTGATCGTGTTAACACAAATCAAATCATGATACTCTCCAATGGAAAACTCTTCCACAGATGACAAGCCCAAAATAAAAAACATTATGGCAGTATAGAAAGGTCTCTAGGTTTCACAAAATACTCCAGCTCTTCTCAGCCACAACAGCCTGGGTTTCATGATCTTTGCCTGGAGTCCTTCTTCACTTAGATAATATCTATTTATCCTTCCGTTTTCAGCTCAGCAGCCACTTCCTTTGGGAACACTTCTCTGACTAGGTCAAATGCTTTTTTTCTTTTCTCTGAGAGCACATCCTGCTTTTTAAGGATACAGTTTTACTCTTGTTTGCTCCTTGATTGATGTCTGATATTCTGTTTTCACCTGAGTTCCAACAAGAATTCAGCCCATAAAATTCTTTTATTTGGCTCAAAGTGTTTTCATTTTGTTCTGATACAGGGCCTCATGATACAGGGCAGCCTGGAACTCACTAAATGCCAAAGATAGTCTTGAATTCTCTCTTATTTTTTATTTTAATGTACTATTTATTTGTTATTTCATTTTATTTTTGGTGTTTTGAGACAGGCTTTCTCTGTGTAACAGCCATGGCTATTCTTGATTTGCTCTGTAGTCCAGGCTGGCCTTGAACTCACAGAGATCTGCCTGTCTATGCCTCTTCATTGCTGGGATTAAAGGCATGTGCCACCACAACTAGGCTGCAATTTAAGTCTTTTGAAAACAAAAGTATCTGTAAGCCAACATTCTTCCATGGCAACATCTTCCAAGTCACTGGAGCCTATTTCTATCATATTCCACTCATCCACTTCATTTATTAAGACTGTCTGTTCTCTGTTAGTGTGTATGGTTTTCACCTCTGCCTCAGAAGGCAAGCTTCTCTTTCTCCACAGGGGGAAAAAAAAAACTTGGCAAATGGGGCTGGAGACATGGCTCAGTGGTTAAGAGCATTTGGTACTCTTGCAGAGGACCTGGGTTGGAGTTTTCAACACACACATGGCAGTTCATCACTGCTTATAACTCCAGTTCCAAGAGTCACATGCCCTCTTCTGCCTTCCCCTGGCATGTGATTGCACATATATGCATTCAGGCAAACACTTATACACATAAAATTAAATTTTAAAGATGCCTGGCAAGTTTTGTTCAACCAACACTACCACTTACACGGTTAGCATATATACAGCTGATGTCCAGTATTTATTGAATTAATACCTTGGCAATACATTATTTATGGTGGATATGCCTGAGGATTCAGAAAGCAAAGTCAGCCACAAGCCAACAGAAGCCAGGCACACACTTTTAATTCCAGCAACCAGAAGCCAGAAGGTGGTGGTACACACCTTTAATCCTAGTACTCAGGATTAAGAGTCCAAGGCCACCCAGATCTATACAAGATTGATCCAATCCTAAAGAGAAATAGCTCACACAAAGATGATATAAGCACCTGGAACCACATGCCTTTAATCCCAGCATTAAGGACGTATAGAAGACAGGAGCAAGGTCTCAGTATCAGGCATTCATTCTCCAGCCTCATTGAGAATAGGAATGCCCCAGCCCTTTTAGAGGTAGGAGCTCTGTGGCAGCTTGCCTTCTTTGCTTCCCTGATCTTCAAGTTGAAGATCAGGGTCTTTGGGTCTTTTATTGATTCGTACTACAAATGTCGTAAAAGCAATAAACAGAAGCAAACATTGAGCCAGGCGCTGGTGGTGCACATCTTTAATCCCAGCACTCAGGAGGCAGAGGCAAGGGAATCTCTTGTCTACCGAGCAAGTTCCAGGACAGCCAAGGCTACACAGAGAAACCCCATCTCGAAAAACCAAAAAGAAAAAAAAAAAGAAAAGTAAAGAAAAGAAAAAAAGGAAGAAAAGAAAAAGAAACGCTGACCATTTTGTGCAGAATGCCAACCCCTGTCCTTCAAGTGTCCTGTGCATTATTTTATTTCGCGTTGATAAAAACCACAAGAAGTTTGTGCAGAAACTAAGGATCCTGACAATTTGAATATCTGTCGGCGGCCTCATAACCAATAAATAACCTTCCAGGGCTCAAGCCGTCTCCAATGAGACTTACAACCACCCCCTTATTATATATATATAGCACGATAACAATCCATGAAATTTTAGAAGGTAACCAAATCACCACTGCGTACTGACACCCTACAGGTTACATTTTGCACCATGAGCTAAGGCACCCGAGAGGAATGACAGCTTGCACCCAGGGGAGTCGGGGACCGAGAGTGGACTCTGGGGTCTCGGGCATTCTCACGACCCTCGCGGCCGCGCGCAGCCACCAAGTCCCCGCCGGGCGGAGCTTTTCTGTCAGTCAGACAGCGCGAGCCCGGCGGGATGCAGCAAGCAGTGGGACGACAGGGCGGGTCCCGGGTGCCCCCCACCCCACCCCGTGCGCGGAGGACCCAGCCCCGCCGCCCTTCCCCGCCCAGGCCTCGCGGCCCCGCCGCCCTGCCCCGCCCGCCCGCCCGCCGCTCGCTTCTATGGCAACGGCCGCGCCCCCGAGCTGGGCCGCCACGATGAGTAGGAGCCCCAGCGGCGGTCCTCACCGGCATGGTGGCCGCGTCCCGTGATCTATCGATGTCCCCGCTCGGGATGCAGCCCAACAACACCGCGTTTGCGGGCGACGTAGCCTGCAGGCGACCGAAACACCTTGGTGCTCTAGAGACTGCGGCTCACTCAGCGGCAGAGGGTAGTGCGCAGGCGCACTCTGAGCTAGCCCCGCCCAATCTCGGGTGCCCTCGGCTTCTTGAAGTACGCATGCGCAAGGGCTTTCGCGTTCATCTCCACGGACGCCAGACCGAGGTAGCGCCTGCGCGGTTCTGCAGGTCCTCAATGCTCCAAAGCCCTGGGGACACCTGGCTCGCTCAGATTGCGAGGGGCTCCTGGCGCAGGCACTATCCCAAGTGTTAAAAATAATAGTGGATAGTAGCGCATCAGATCCTGATTAATCCTATTTCATGAGGAATATCAGATGTTGGGTTCTCTTTATCTCTGCTATCTGCCTGCACCGGCAGTTTGAGACTTGGAATAAAAAGTTGTGATACACGACCTTCACGTCTCTTTGTGTGTACGCACACGTGTGCATCTGTGCATTCCTCAACCGTTAAATTGAGTGTCCAGCGCTCCATTAGATAGGTGAGGGCTTTTGTTTGGGGGCGGTGCCATGAATTGAACCTTAAGCCTCAGGAATGCTGGGCAATAGCCCTACTACTGATCTATGCTCCTTTTTCAAACGTAACCCTTTGAAGACAGAGGTTTATTTCTGGCCTGACGTATCTGAATGAAAATAATAGTAATAGTAATAATAATAATAATGACGTGGGAGCTGGAGAGATGGCTCAGAGATTAACAGCACTTGACTGCCCTTCCAGAGGTCCTGAGTGGACATGACCAGACTGAGCTGGGCCATGTAAGAAGAGGGGAATGGAGAGAGGAATTGCTGACCAAGAGGGGTATCATGGACCAAGAGACTGGGCTAGATTATATGGGGAAGAGCAGCTGTGGGAATTTCAGCAGCCAAGCCCCAGCGCTATAGAAGTTTAGGGTAGGGGGTAGAGTAGTCAGCCATACCCTATGACAGGTAGGGACTGAGGGATGCTGGGAGAACCTGATGTCCAGGTCCACTTTGATATGTTAAGTGGGCACCTCAGCTGTTAGTCCCTGGGTTTGAGATCTAACCCTAACAGTATCCAAAGTCAAAGCTCCAGACAGTCATTCGTGACGCACACCTTTAGTCACAACACTAGGGAGGCAGAGACAGGCAGATTTCTGTGAGTTCGAGGCCTGCCTGGCCTACAAGAGCTAGCTCCAGGACAGCCTCCAAACCCACAGAGAAACCCTGTCTCAAAAAAAAAAAAAAAAAAAAAAAAAAAAGCCAAAGTTCCTTCTAAATAGCCACTTGCTCAACAGAACTGGTTTGGATTTTTCAATTATGGGAGAATTGTTTTGGTTTTGGTGTGATACAGGGTCTCACTGTGTAGACTATGTTGACTGTGAACTCGGAGACCTTTGACTCCCCAGTGCTGGCATTAAAGGCATCTCCATCATGCCCAGAAGATATGGGAGAGTTTAAGTTGCAAATAATTATAAAGTGTGCTTTGTGTTAACATTCAAAATGTTCATCTTGGGCTACGTGTTGGTGGCGCACTACTTTAGTCCCAGCACTTGGGAGGCAGAGGCAGGCAGATCTCTGAGTTCAAGGCCAGCCTGGTCTACAGAGCTACTTCCAGGAACAGGCTCCAAAGCAATACAGAGAAACTCTGTCTCAAAAAAACAAAACAAAACAAAAAAAAAAAAAAAACAAAAAACAAAAGTTCATCTTGGGGCTGGAAAGATGGCTCAGCAGTTAAGAGTACATATTGTTCTTGCATAAGACTGGAGCTAGGGGCCCAGTACCCAAGTCAGGCATTCACAACTCCAGCTCTAGGGGATCCTATGCCCTCTGGTCTCTGTGGGCACTATACTCACATGCATATATTTACTCACAGGTACACACACACACTTAGTTAAAAATTTTTTAAAAATTGTCTGGGGGCTGGAGAGATGGGTCAGCAGTTAAGAGCACTGTCTGCTCTTCCAGAGGTCCTAAGTTCAATTCCCAGCCACCACTTGGTGGCTCGTAACCATCTATAATAATGATATCTGGTGCCCTCTTCTGGCCTGTAGGTACACGTGCAAGCAGAACATTGTATATGTAATAAATAAACCAAAAAAAAAAAAAAAAGCCTGATGGGGGTGGCACACGCCTTTAATCACAGCACTTGGAGGCAGAGGCAAGTGGATCTCTGAGTTCGAAGCCAGCCTGGTCTACATGGTGAGTTCCAACACAGCTAGGGCTACACATAGAAACCCTGTCTCAAAAAATAAATAGGAGAGAGGAAGGGAGGAAGGGAAAGGGAACTGGGATTGATATGTAAAATAAGAAATAAAAATAAAAAAAAAACCACTATAAAAATAATAACAACAAATAAATCTTTTAAAAATGTTTCTCTTCAATACATCACACAATTGGCCATGGATATTAGTAACATGTTCTGTATTTTCAAATATGCTGAGTAGGAGAGGCCCATTTTTTTTTATGATAATGTAGACCACCATTGTACAACTGTTGCTAATAGTTGATAATCCCTCATTATTTTATTAAAGTTTTATATTTATTCATGTGAGTGTGTGCTCTGAGACTCGTATGTGGGGAGGTCAGAGGACAACTTTCAAGAATTATTCTCTTATTTCACTATGAGATCTCACCAATGGAACTAAGATAGACAGGCTTAGTGGCAAGTACCTCTATCCACTGAGCAAACATGCTGGCCCCTAAAGTTTTTAAACGATGTCTTTATCCTAAATGAATACAGTTTCCTAGCTATGTCTATTTTACCTTGTATAATCCTGCATTCAAATGCATGTTATATTACATCATACTACATACATATAGAGGCCACTATAAACATCTGGAAGCTAGAGATTAGATGTGTTACTTCTCTGAAATGCTATTAAAGTGTTTGCTGCAACAATCTGTTTTGAATGCATTGCTTTGCATTCAAATACCTTCTACTAACTTAGAGGTTCTTAATTGTGTAAAATCAAATTATTAATACTATACAAAAGTAAAACTGAAAGAAAAATTGCCATTGCACACTGTGTCCCACCTGGTGAGCAAAAGACCTTTCATGCTGTGAGCTACTTTGATTACATTCTGACAATGAAGTTTGTTTTGAATCAGAGGGTGGAGTTTGCTATTAGCCAACCAAAATTAGAGGTTTTGGAAGAGTGAGGAAGTAGTAAAGCAGGCCTTAGAGAGGCCTTTTTGACTGGAGGAAGAGAAGAGATAGGAGGCCACTGGTGGCTGCTCTGCAGCTTCTCAGATCATTCAAGTTCTTATCCCGATATCTGATTCCCAATTTTTTATTGGTAAAGAACTATTAGTTAAATGCTTCACCTTGCTTATGACCTTGCTTGTTAATTTGTTCATGTACCACCAGCAAAAAGGAGGCTCCTTGGGAGCTAGCTCAGATTCTCATCTTTCTTGCCACAGTTAACACAGAACCTGGCCCAGAAGACCCAGTTATCCACCCCTTTCAGCCCAGCATCAGTCCACTTGGATGTGTTGCAGATATTTTTTTAAAGATTTATTTACTCATTTATTTACTTATTATGTATACAGTGTTCTGACTGCATGTATCCCAGCATGCCAGAAGAGGGCACCAGATCTCATTATAGATGGTTGTGAGCCACCATGTGGTGACTGGGAATGAACTCAGGACCTTTGGAAGAGCAGCCAGGGCTATTTACCTCTGAGCCATCTCTCCAGCCCCATGTAACATACATTTTATCATGTCAAAATTTAAATCCCATTCCCCAGATTCCCCAGACCAGTTTGCATCCCTTACTCAATGCTGTCCCTTTCACATATACACAAAAAGGCTCCTTCTCAGACTTCCTTCACCTCAACAAATAGAAGCAGAATTCCCAGCCTCAAATCCCAGACTCTTTCTCCGGCTCCATATCCAATCCTTCAATACAGCCTGCTTAGCATCTGCCTTAAAGTAAAACCAGAATTGCATTCTTACCACCACCATTACTATGGTCTCTCACGTGTATTGCTACACTGAGAACTTGTTTCTGTAACACCCGTAAGGTTTGAATAAACCTGTGGTGGTTTGAATAAGAATGACCTCCATAGGCTCATAGATTTGAATACTTGATCACAAAGGAGAAGCACTGTTAGGAGGTGTAGCCTTGTTGGAGTAGGTGTGGTTTTGCTAGAGGAGGTGTGTCACTGGGGGTGGGCTTTGAGATTTCAAAAGCACAAGCCAGCCCCAATGTCTCTTTCTCTTTCTACTGCCATTAAGATATTAATGTAGAACTCTCAGCTACTTCTCCAGCCTGTATGTCACTATGCTTCCCATCATGATGATAATGGGCTAATCCTCTGAAACTGTAAGGCAGCTCCAATGAAATGTTTTCCTTTATTAGAATTGTTACGGTCGTGGTGTCCCTTCACAGCAATGGAACATTGACTCAGACAACTAGTATGTAACTGGATAAATGCAGAAGTGACTGACTGAATTGCCCTTAGAGGAAGGGATTATCACTTTTTCCAGACAGGGTCTCGTGTAGCCCAGTCTGCCCTCAGATCCACTATGTAGCCGAGGATGACCTTAAATTTGTGATCCTCTTGCCTCCACCTCCCAAGTGCTGGGATTACAGGCATGCACCACCACACTGGGTTTATGTGGTCTTGAGAATCAAATCCAGAGTGTCGTGAATTGTAGGCAAACACTCTACCAACTGAGCTACATCCACAGCTGGGATTATCACCCTTCTGGATAAGTAGAAACCAGAAGGCTCAGTAGAAGTGCAGACTGTAGGTCAGGCGCCATACCCCAAGACCAAGGAGCAGTTTTTAGATGTTCCTCCATCTGGTCTCATGCCCCCAGATCAGTACTTTGAGAAGGTTGACTGGTCAGACACACCAGATATCCCATGAAGACAGGGATTTTGTCTGGAGCACAGGCCTGTTTAGGGAAGAGGTGTGAAGCATGGGTATACGGGAAGAAGAGGGGGAGGAGTCTCTCACTCACTATCAGGTTCAGACTTTCACAGTCCTAGGTGCCTAACACCCAGTTTCACAGCTGAGTCTTAAGATGCAGCCAGCCAGGAGTG